ACACAATCAATATGTGCGTGTTCGCATGTAATATATGTACATTACAGTTTTATGGGCATCAAGTGTTGTAGTAGATATTTATGTGTAATCATAATCAACTATCAGATCGATACCCTTTCTTGTGAAAGCTTCACAAAATATTCCATGGCATTTCCATGTCGTTTCTGTATGTTCCTTCGGGGTGTCCCACTAATCCACCACGACCTGATGGTAGGGGCTTCAACATACGTCCCAGCTATGGCCCTTGGTCTTTCAGCAACACAGGTACAACCACGGGTTAAACTGGGGCCCTGTTGCACAACTCGATCTTAGCACAAAGCCATCGTAACTCACATACTGCAACATTGACTTAAGACGATCGGAGTACTCAGGTCGTTTTGTGGAACGAGTGGTTATTACGTATTTTGCTACCACTGCATGATATAACTGTTGTACTACTGTCGAGAGAAGAGTGAACTCATCCACAATGAATTTCAGTTCCTAGCAATATACAGACAAGATGAACCTGATGGACGATATGAATAACCCATTTAAGATTAATAAGCGTGAGGATACAGATGGCGCAGTCACCTTTGATGCCCCAACCCTACAAGAAAACTATGGCAGTGGTTCGATGCCTACATTCACCCTAATTATGTTTCTAGGTTTGTAATCACCGTACCCGTGTGGGTTTCTCTAAAGTGATAAACGTCTAAGACCTGCATCACTTTCTTCTATTTCATGTTGACATACCGTGACATAACTGAAATAGTATTTAAAGCTTGAAACCAAACTCACCCACCCACCAAAAGCTACTATAACCTACCGAGAAAGTTACGATGACCTGTTTAATATTCATGTGTTTCTATATAATATGAACAGGAACTTCCCCGGCTCATGACTGAAACATGGGAATGGTAGTACAGTTGAGAGTTGACTCATTACAAGTGCTTATAAGGCTCAGCCACGACATATTAATAGGATCACTGGTCTTCATGCCCGTCACAAGAAACACCAACCTGATGTACTATGGGGTGTTAGAATAACAAGTGTTAATTGAGTGTAAATATTTTATATAATTGCTTCCTTCATTGTTGATGAAATATTAATTTCGCCTAATCAATATTGCGTTTGAAGTATACGGGACGCATAAAAATTAAACATAAGTAATAAGCGCCGGTAATTTTTCCCATGTACACATTTCATGTAAGTCAAAACATTCTCAAGCGACACACATCTTTTTTCAGTTCATGTCTGGGACACGCGCTCATTAACATGTCTATTTGTTTAAAATAAATAGTGGCGAGGTATTCATAAATTGTGAAAAATAAGCATGCCGATCAGGCTTGTTTCAAATGTTAAAAACGAAGAAGTCGAAAATATGATCATTTGACGACACAAACACTGATATACACACGATACCATCAAATGCCAACAATGCAAAATAGACTCTCTGCGATGACTAAACATTTGTTACGCTACGTCGAACAATACCGGAACCCCCCTCAAGGAACGTAAATTGTGTTTTTTTATTTTTCAAAGTGTTACGGTATACTTGATCGCCAGTTTACTACCGCGACTATCTGTACTACATCTGAAATAGAGAATCTCCCCAAAATGTCTTTTCAAATATTTCAAAGTCAAAGATTTGCCGAGTATTTTTAACATTTATCGACGATGGTTGACATATCTTGATGTCAAACGACACGAAGAAAAAATTCTGTTCATCATACATAAGCATTCTTCTGTTCGTAAATATAAGATGCTATCCAACTTCAGTAGCAGAGAGATTGGTGCTGTCGGTCTATAATGATATGTCATGGTCACTGCTGAAGTCACAGTGGTCTGCAGAACATGATGATGCCAACTATTGCAGCATTATCTCCTGTGGACTGAGGACCGCCTCCGTGGTCTAGTGGTAGAGCGTCCGCCCGGGGAGCGGAAGGTCCGGGGTTCGTTCCCCGACCGCGTCATACCAAAAGACGTTAAAAGATGGTACTTGTTGTTACCCTGTCTGGCGCTCGGCATTAAGGGGCTAAAACAAGGACTGGTCGGCTCGGAGTCAGTATACTGTGTCTGAGTGGGGTATTCATGTTAAACTGCGGCATGGTATCTCAGTGGGCTAGCACTATAAATCGGCATCAGTCCGGACTAGTACAAGCAGCCACACAAACACACACACGTACATGCACGTCGCTATATAAGTGCAATAATCTTGGACGCGACGTTAAACCCCATTTCACCTCACCTCACCTGTGGACTGAGTGAGTGAGTTTGGTTGAGCACCACTTTGAACAGTATTTCAGTCATATCACGACGTAGCAGCTTGATGTGGGAGAAAGCCCGAAGGGATGCAGGTCTCAGACATTTACCACTTCGGTGAAACACACGAGCACGGGTCCAAACCAAACTGCTGACAAACCTAAAAACATAATCGGGGCGAACCGGGATTCGAGCTCACAATCATAGGTTTCTGGTGTACCCAAGGGACGCAACTCTGCGCAATGAATTGCGACGCCTTAGACGACTGAGACACCTGTGTCCCATTTCCCATGAAGCCAGTTTGGGATGATAAAGGTTATTTTAAGTCCTCACAGGAAGTACCATGAATCATAAGTGTCATTGGTAAAATGACTATCACAAATCACATGAAGCTCACGCATATAGGGCCAATTGTGAGTTATTAAAGGTCATCCCGACTCAAATCGTTCACTCACACCTAAGGGGTCGAGTCAAAGTCAACCTTCAAAAGAGTACGCGGTATAAAAAAATCTGTCCAAAGGGGCACCTATTCATTTCTATTGTTTAATTCGTTCTCAGCCTTTCTCTCTACAGACAATCGGTGGTTGTTAACGGATGTAGACAATTTGGTACAGACAGACAATGCACTGATATCAGTTACACTTAATATATATATATATATATATAAACAGACATCCAGAAGTATTTGCTAAATATGACACAACGCTTGTCAACATGATGTGCGATGCATATCCATGCTGTAATGTGTTCACTGAGTTTTCAAATCTCTTTACTCGCCGGCACTCACAAATTGTGAAGCGGCGGTGCTTACGAGTAACGCAGGACATACTTACCCTTTTCACTAGCAGCAGGTGTGTGATGTTCAGCGATCCATTCATATGATTTTCATCACTTATTTGCCTTTTACTGCGTATGGAATCTGCTTCGGCAGATAGTCGAGACTGATTATGCTTTGGCGACAAAGGTTCGAATTTACGCACCAGTTCAAAGAAGAGAAGCCACAACGTATGTCAGTCCTTCCAATATTGCTTCAGCTGTCAGAGTGCGGAGCTCTGGATTTCGTTTTGCAAAAATCTCTGATTCACTTCCTCTTTGTTTTATTACCATTCGTGTTCGAATGTATTCCTTAATTAATCACAATATATGCTTGTTGTAAAAATGCTTTTTTTTTCAATGAGTCATGTTGACGAGCATCTCTTCCCCAACACTACAGTGAATGGATGTTGGGATAACTCTTTGCGTGAAGTCTCTCTGACCAGTATGGGTCCACAGACATATATCAGGGAGTTGAACTGTTCTTACTGCAGACACACAAAGCAGATCTAATGTTCATGGTCCTAACATAACCTATCCGCTACCAGCATCACAGTTCACTACACAAGTCGCCGCCTCCGTGGTCTGATGGTACAGCGTCCGCCCGGAGAGCGGAAGGTCCGGGGCTCGATCCCCGGCCGCGTCATACCAAAAGACGTTAAAAGATGGTACTTGTTGTTACCCTGTCTGTCGCTCGGCATTAAGGGGCTAAAACAAGGACTGGTCGGCTCGGAGTCAGTATACTGTGTCTGAGTGGGGTATCCACGTTAAACTGCGGCATGGTATCTCAGTGAGCTAGCACTATAAATCGGCATCAGTCCGGACTAGTACACGCAAACACGTACATGCACGTCGCTATATAAGTGCAATAATCTTGGACGCGACGTTAAACCAAATTTCACCTCACCTCACCTCACTACACAAGTCCATTTGGTTACAAAGGGGCCATTGTGCTTTATCTTGGACAATAATAATGATAGTTATATCATGCAACAGGTGAACAAAGTACCAACACTAATTCATCCTCTTCATGTGACTCCTTACAGAAACCCCACCAAAGGGAACTATATCGTTCGCGGTGAACATTCAAAAAAACTTTGGTTGTTTGTTGGTTTACGCCGCCCTCATCAAATAGTCCAGTTCCATGACGGCGGTCTGTAATTATCGTGTCTGGACAAGACAATTCATCGACTGACATCATGAGCATCGTCCTACCTAATTGGAATTCGATGACATGCATCAGACAACTCAGACAGTATAATTTGTCTGAGTGGGGTATCCATGTTAGTCATTGTACAGAAATTGAATCCTACTTGAAGAGTCTAAAAAAGCTTTTGTCCTTTTGTCCTGAGCAGCTTAATTAGGCTTTGTTGATTTTTGGTATTAGAATTATGCACATATTCACATCCTCAGAAAGGTGTTAATTCTGTTCAGGAATATATATTATGTTGGCTGAAAGAAAGGTATGTATTTGTTACCAATATTAGAAAATTTTAACGACAGTCTAATTATTAGTGAGTGAGTTGAGTTTAACGCCGCATTTAACAGTATTCCAGTTGTATCACGGTGTGTCAGCTTAATGTGGGAGGAAAGCCCGAAGTGATGCAGGTCTCAGACGTTTACCACTTCGGTGAAACCAACGAGCACGGGTATGGTGCTGATAAACATAGAATCATTTCATTATTAACTGCCTTCAATAAAACTGTTTTATATCGCAGTGACCCAGATTTAAATATTTGTTCTCGGCGTGTCACTGCTTCCGGTCCACTTCCGGAAACCAAAAACAAATATGCACAGACAATGCATCCCTTACATCATTTTCAATATTTCCTCTCATCTGCAAAACTCGAGTTGTTAAGGATATGACGTAGCTGAGTAATCGACCCTTTGGCGAATAATCAACAACACCAGGATACTTTAAAGTAAAAGAAGCTATTTAGTTCGTCCATGCTAAAGCTCGAATATATATTTGTTCCCTTTAGTTTCCACATACTGTATCGATCACAAAATCGATCATTTTACATTCGGACTACGGATAACAACTCACTTCTGAAGCTGTGGCAGAATCTCTCAAGCCCTTTGTTGATTCTTGGCTCAATCGAATATTGCAATCAGCAGCAGACGACAGTTACCGGGTGCCGCGAAGCAAGCAGACGACATCTCTTTCCAGCACATACGAGTACTATACTGTATTGTTGCGTGTGTGTTGTGACGAGGTTTCAACGTTCTTCTAGAGGACTGGTTTTGTAGGATGATAGTCGAGGTGGAGGCATCGTCATAATTAATAGGATGGGTAAATATGTTTGTTTTTACGCTTGATATTACACTTTCGCTTATTTTTTCCCTATTTGAAACAACGGGTTTTGTGCCCCACAAAACTAATATAAAGCAACATAATTAATACGCAGCACAATTATACACATTCCGGGTCCGAGGTTGTTAAGCTCTACAGCAGAATGTATCCAGCTATTCTTTTCAATATTTGCAAATGAAAGTTATTATTGTGTTTCCCGCCCAAAACTAATTACTTTTTTATAATTTACTTCTCACGCAATTTCTTCTTTAGTAGGCATTTAGAAGTCGGAGTACTAAGTAAGGATAAGAATTTATGGATGAACAACTTCTTTATTACAATTAAGAGCGACGTTTCGGTGTAGGTTCTAACACCGTTATCAAGCAAGTGATATATAGAGTGGGGTTGACACGTATATATACAAGTAGGAGGCAACGTTTATACAGTAGAGTAGATATCAGGTGTAGTTAAACTGGACTGGAGAAGCCTGTTATGTACACACAAGGGTAGTGGTGACAATCATGCTACTAGATTCACCCCTTGTTTCTATCACTGACTTCACTCATGATTGTCATCACTACCCTTGTGTGTACATAACAGGCTTCTCCACTCCAGTATAACTACATCTGATGTCTACTCTACTGTATAAACGTTGCCTCCTACTTGTATATATACGTGTCAACCCCACTCTGTATGTCACTTGCTTCATAACGGTGTTATAAAACTGCAATAAAGAAGTTGTTCATCCATAAATTCTTATCCTTACCCTCACGCAATGTCACAATATCAAAAATCATCGTCCCATCGTTCAATAGCTGTAAAATTTTCGGAGTTTCAACAAGTTATAACAACACGTCCAATTCGACACAAGCAAGGATAATTTTAAAAGACTGAATTTTGAAATTTGCCTTTTAATTTTGCTACCAGATGTACGCGATAAAATTGATAAAATATCTAGTATTTATTTGTTGTTAATTACAACTATTAGGTAAATAATTTCCTTTTTATGAATTTACTGCACAGAAAATTCATTTCGGATGTTTTTGAGACGAGTATTAAAAACATATTTTGACATTGTAGATAGTCAACCCCTTGACACTGAAAATTCTTTCGTGAAAAAAATCCATATTTTATTGATAAAAATGGTCATGCTATCAATATATGATGACCAACGTTTAAGAAAGCTTGAAGTCAAGATGATAAAAAAAACAGGTCCTGGGTGACGCTGTACAAAACAACCTTAGCGCTACGACTGTCGTAAGGTATGGGAGTTACGATCACCTCAGCGCTAAGATCGCTTTGTAAAACGGCGCCCTGCCCCCCAGGGTTAAGTGGTTCCGCAGCGTTCTGCATCGCATCCACGCTGTCATGGATGGAGCGGTTTCCCGGAGAGCAGCAGGTCGGTGGTTCGATCCCCTGGCCGCTTCATACCAAAACACGTTAAAAGATAAAACAAGTACTGTCTGAGTGGAGTATCCAGCTAAACTGGGGCAGTGTTACTCAACAGGGTAGCACTATTAACGCGACGTAAAACCGCATTTCAGCACACATCAGGTCACCTCACCATTTAGCTGCATTTCAGATGTGACAACAGATTGCTACATCTTAGCGTATCAGTCGTTTATTCCTTAACATAAACTTGTACCTCGGACAAAGGAGGATTCTAGCATGGCCGAATCATTCAGGTACTGTCACATGTTGACATGAATGTAGTATCAATAGGTTAATAGCTCATGTAACTACACCAGCAGTATGTGTCATGGTTCCATTTGTATACATATCGATTTGACAAGAATAAGGAAATGTCAATATGTATGCATATAACCACTTAAACACTCAACAGGGAAATTACTTAACATATTAGGTTTAGCTTCATTATGGCATTGGGGAATACTTCTTTTACCAAGTACAGTTGAAATGATATGAGTTTGAATGATAACTATACTCGATGTCCACATTCTATTTTAAACAACAATCACATCTCATTTCTTTAAGTGGCTTTTTTAGAAGCTCTTACAACGAAGACACGGTTGACATCAAGAATAAAGCTGATTAAATCCGAAAGTCAATTTATTTAATGACTCGTGTATGCACGTCGCTACATAAGTACAACACGCCACGTTAAACCCAGTGAAATTGGGATTAGTGTCGCATTGAGGAGTATTGCTCTAAGACTTATATAGCGACGTGAAACTTCTTGCCCCTTAATGAGGTGATCATTCAGTAGCCCTGAAACATCGCCACAACCAACAAAGAAGCTGTTGTCAATAAAACGTTTCATGTCTTTATTGTGTGTATTTGGGTAGTTGTTAACTGCTAGATTCATGATACACATGATACAATTTGAGTTAGTTGCAGAAAAATGTGGATTTACGGAAACTTTCCAAATGTGACACATCAGTGACCAAAATAATGTTCGATGCAATTTCCTGTTTGACATCTACCACATGATCCCGTGTTTTCGTCAGGTGAACAATTGACTTGCCTTTGCGAGTATTTATGACGGATGCAAGCAGCGGGGCAGGATAGGCTCACCTTATCGCGAACACCTGGTGTCATAGCTATTTGACATTGATTCATAAGCATGTGGTCATGATATAGTCAGAGTTAATTTGTTGAGGTTCTCCCCAGCCTAGTCCCAATTTAAAGATGTTACAAGCTCGGTTGACTGTTCTTAAGTGTGGTATATACCAAACTATTCAGTTTGTATGACGCCTTTGTATTTAGCACACAGACAGTAGCATATGCTACCTCCACGTCTATTGGACACAAAACCTGTATTCTTTGATAAAAGACTACATCTGTACCCTCGGTGAAAGACTTTTTGAACCAGCGAGGCCTGGATTTGTGTTGACGTCTTTGTGCTGGTGTTCATACTGAGTTCTCGAGATAGAGTTACTTTTGTTGTTTGTCTTAATTGATGTGTTGATATGTCGAGTGTTATTACCTCAATAAAGGAAAGCGACAAAACCCTTTCCATAATCATTAAAAATATCTGCCAAAAGCAAAAAGAGTCGACTCCGACTATATCCTGAGCCTGTGTACATGAATCACAATAAAAAGTGATGATACCAGATGTTCGCTAAAAGTTGAGCGTGTCCTGCCCCACCAGTGACGCCGGTCACAAACACGTGCAACGGCAAGTCAAGTATTCACCTTTAAAAACACAGGAAACTATTGTACAAGTCAAATGAGGGAATTACATCGGACATCCTTGATGTCAATTATGCGTCAAATTTGGAAATGCCTTCTACATGTCTACCATAAAATTTATGGAAAGCTTTACTGAGGCATTTGGAAGTTGTATCCTTCATCAAACAACTTCTGAGCAAGAATATTTTTGGCTTGTGAAATTGAGGTGTATCGAAGGAAGACAAATAGCGTATAAAACATGCATAACACCTAGGTCGTAAACGGTCCTGTATTTCCATCACTGACAGACCGTCTAACACTATAATAACCTGAAAAAGTTGAATGATTGGTTGAAAAACGTGATTAAAACGGATTCGATGCCCGGAAATCTTGATTATTCACTGCGCATGAATACTTTTCTTGATAAGTATCTTTTTTTCTCAATCCACATCTGGAAAACTAGCCAGTGGACTTTGTGACATGGATACCACTTTCATAAAATATGTATTTAATTCTAATAAGAACAACATCAATTTTTTTCCACATTCTGCTATCAAGGCGAGTTCATTTATCAAGGAAACATGTGAACTCATCCATTGTATCATGACTCCAACGAATTCCGGGGTGACGTCATAGCATTTCAGAATGAAGCCATGTCTACCTCCCTGTTGCTGGAGAGCGAGAGAGTGCTTCAGAAAATGACTGACAACTTTTGTATTTAAGAATGTCGATAAACATTATGTGATTTTGTAGCGCCGTCGGTTCCAAATGAAATTTCAGGACATCAATAAAACCCGTAAATCTGAACACTCATATGCTTTACCTCCTAAATCTTCTGCAGAAGGAGGAAATATGACTATTTATCTATAGACCACGACGTGTTTGGCAATAACTATTGGGCACTTAAGTTTTTATGGGGACAATCCTCAGAGATAGGTTGCCTAATTTTTCTGCATCTTTCAAGAGTTTGTAATGCATACTGAGCCTGGGGCATCGATCTGTGATACATCGGTAATCACTAGCTTACTACATCCCCTACTGCTCGTTGATGTAAAATGTGGTTTCATTTCACCTCATTATTATGTACCAGTAGCGACATGCATGCACGTGTGTGTGTGTGTGTGTGTGTGTGTGTGTGTGTGTGTGTGTGTGTGTGTGTGTGTGTGTGTGTGTGTGTGTGTGTGTGTGTGTGTGTGTGTGTGTGTGTGTGAGTGGCTTCTTGTACTTGTACTAGACTGATCCTACTGATCACATTTTCACTTTGAATGCAATTGTGAAAAATAATTATAGTTTTGAAATGAGAAATTATACGTTACTTATGTATACTTTTATTAACAAATGCCTTTGGTTCAGTGAGCCACCTTAAGCTATGGGAGTGTAGCACGATGCAGGTTTAGTCGGAAGATGATAAGAGCACTTCAGGAAACTTTGCCTCAGTGAAAGCAGGTGCAAGATGTCATGATAACATTTATACAGAATATTTTGACTGTTCTAACGGAGTTAAACAAGGCTGTATATTGAGCCCTCTATTATTATTTGCTTCGTTAATATTTTGTCAAATGATGTTTCATCACATAGGAGGTACGGCGTTCACATCAAGACTTGTTTGAAATATTTTTTATTGTTTTCCAGTAACTGGTTTACAGAACCAAATTAACATTCTTGAAACGTTTGCAGACTCACACGGACTAACGGTATATTTAGATAACACGAATGTTATATGTAAACGAAGGTCTGTTATCTGAGAAATGGTTCTGTAACCTTATGATAAACTTGTTTCAACCGCCCACGCCTTCAAATATCATGGCTTTCTATTCTCATGTACATCAAATTTGAATCGGTGTGTCTCAGATCAAGATCAAACTTTA